CTGTAATAGTGGCCAGGAAATGTCAAAGACTTCTCACCCTCCAAGTGCCTGCTACACTGTACAGTGGCTGAACTATAACCAATCAGATGTTCTCAAACTCAAATGACAGTATCAGGGCTTCCTGATTGGCTGCAGTTGCAGGATGTTGGGTTACAATTTAAAATGACGAATGCACTCACTGAACTGCAGGACCGTGGCTTTTTAATTCATTATCATTTTTCTGAATCTGAGCTAGCTGATGGGTGGCTGTAGACTCAGAATCCAGACTGGCTGTCATTCCCACCTCTCCCATGGCCCAGATTCAGAGCCTGCAGCGATAGCTGTGCTGCTACAATGTGTTTCTTTCAGTATATACAGTATATAAATGTATAACAACTGTAGAATTGAGCACTTCACTCGCCACTGTATTTCACGTTCCTTGAGCGGGGAAAGTGTGGGGAATGTAAGCAGAGGAGTGGTGCATTAGTTCAGCCAAGCCTGTGGAATGATTGATAGGTGATGTGTGTCACATAATGCTGACTACCTCTGTCTCACCCTTCTTCTCAGTACTAGGCACCTAGTTCAGCCACGTAACCTCTGCAGCTAGTAACAACAGCAGCCAGGGCAGTCCCCACTTCCTCAGAATTCTTCATTACAAGTAGTAGCATACTTAACTGTTGCCTAAACATTCAAACTGAATTAAATTCTATTTCACAAGTAGCTATCTCAATGTATCCAAACTGAAGAATGAGGCGATGCTACGTAGCAAAATACAATTCCTAAAATGTTTACATGCTTGCAATTTTCTATTAAGAAACAACACATAACGCCAAATCTGAAGTCCTAGATGGAGGGGGGAAAAAACAAACACTGCAAAATGGTTATTACAGTGAAATAATCAATATGATAATAAAAAATCATATTGCAAAAAGCAAAGTTAATAACATGAATAGCTGCAACCTATACACAGGGCCCTGCTTCTCTACAAATTATGTCAGCATGAATATAAGATAACTATGTATGAAATCATGTTATACAATCAATTAATGAACAATGTTAATTATTAATAAATTCAAGATGCTCCCCCTCTGAGGAAGCCATTTTTGGTAACTGGAAGAGGCTTATCGTAAGTAATAATTTGTTATTAAAAGAATTAGGTACTTGTTAATTACTCATCATATACTGTATATTTATATTACATCTATGTATGACTGATTAGGATATAAACTGACTTATTAGAGCATTTTAGCCATTTTGCCGCTTTTTTTACACTTGTGTTTCCTAAACTATGGGTCTGAAACCAAACTGGCAAGCAAAACATATGACAAACGCACTCATCAATTGGTCACCAGCTTTACAGCAAGGTGCACACGGAATGGGCTTTAAACAGTAAAATTGCAAAAAGTTTTCCTGGCACACTCACAAGCTAGCATGTAAAAAAACATGTCTCACACTAAGGTTAAAAACAGAGGTTTGGATACACGTCTTCTGCAGAAAATGTGATAGCCGCACAGCTGCGCCAAGGCACCTCTATATAGTGCGGTCCTAACTCTAAACTATCAGAGCATCCATCTTGGAGCACAAGGGGCAGAAGATAAAATCCAAACCTCTGTTTTTAACCTTAGTGTGAGACATGTTTTTTTACATGCTAGCTTGTGAGTGTGCCAGGAGAACATTTTGCTATGAAACCAAACTGGGGCACAGATATCTTTGAGCCGCCACTTGTGTGTGTATTCGACTTTGTCTAAGTGCAAAATCAGTGGATCAGTGGCAAGGGATATAGCACACTGACTGACTATAATGACAGCACAGACCCAGGTGGGAAACTAGAGTGTGTGTGAAGGGAGGTGAAGGGAATTGCACAAATCAGGTTTGAGCTCTGCTGCACAGAGACTGGAAGAGGTTGAAAGTAAGGAAGAACTTACACCAGACACATTGGGGCTGCACTGGCCTTTTTCCAGCGCAGCTGCAATGCAAGACAAGGCTTTGTGCCCTGTCATGGATGGAAACCATTCACACCACCATGTTGTGGTAGTGTGATGATATGCAGTACATTTTTTCATTTCAGCACAGCAGGATGGGACACGGTATAACTGCCTCGCACCATGCTGTGCCCATAGAACTTAATGAAATGTCACTTGTGACATCTCAATTAAGTTTTCATTTTTTTTCTAGGTAAAGAATGTGATGTGCCAGGATCGGCACTGCATACCAGCTGCTGTGCGATGTAGCGCAGCAGCTAGTGTGAATGGCCCTTAGTCAAATTCAGGTACTTTCACTGCCTGCATTTAAAAATATCCAGATGTATTATGAACACAGAGCTGCATTAATCTGTGTCTTCTATAGCTGCCTGGAGTTCCACTTTAAATAGTTTTGGTACATGTATTGTATATATAAAGCACTGCTAAAATTGTCAATCTATATAAATACCAATATTAAATTATAAGTATTATTATTATTTCTATTGTTTTATTTACAATTCAATTTCCTGTCTTACAAAGAGTCAACATTGACAACTATACTCGAATGGAAACAAATGCGTTTACTGTTTGTGTTTTTATTATAAGGCCCCTGTTCGTCTGGCCTTGCTGACTTTTTGGTAATAATTCTCTACTTGTGTCCCAGTACTGTAACTTTTTTGAGTACTCGGGTATCCTCTCAACCAGGGGTTCTTAAAGCAGAACTCTGGGCACAATTTTTATTAACCTTTGCAGTGGCGCTACCCCCGCACTGCAAGGGTTAAGTGCTTGTTTGTATCTAAGGACGAAAATAAAAACGTTATACTCACCTGAACCTCTGAGCGGGTCAGCTCTTGGACTGGTCCCTAAAGTGTCTCTCCCCCTCCGCTTAGGCGGTCTAAGGATCCTCTAGTCATCATGTTCTATGCACTGTGTATAGGACGTAAGGACCCTGATGTACATACCATCGCTGCAGCGGAGAGAGAGAGAGAAGTATCTTTTTTTTACCTAGACACAAAAAAGCAGGTAACCTTGTAGTGGGGGTGTAGCCCTACTGCAAGGGTTAATACATTTAGTGCCCGGAGTTCTGCTTTAAGCTTTGGAATCTATCATGATAGGAATACAACAGTTCAACTTCTTCTGAAAATGCTAATTGCCTGACTGTTATGCTAATGCTTTGGCTGCACTAATCACTCCACTGAAACCATTGTAGATATATGAAATACAGACTTTGTTCTAATTTTCCTTTACAGTGTACGTGTTTCAGATCAGTAACTCAGACAAAAGAAGCCACACACAGCCAGTCTTGGCACACCTTTCATACATCAGCCCCAAAGTGTTTGTGGTCAGTAAATGCTCTGATTAACACTTTCTATGTGCTTACTGAAGGGATCACCAGCTATGTTTAACCCTTCCCAGTGCTGGATATTACTTTAACCCTTCTCAGTGCTGGCTGTATACTGTAACCCTTCTCAGTGCTGGCTATTACTTCTCAGTGCTGACTATTACTTCTCAGTGCTGGCTATTACATTAACCCCTCTATGTGCTGGCTATTAATTCTCAGTGCTGTCTGTTACATTAACCCATCTCAGTGCTGGCTATTACATTAACCCTTCTAAGTGCTGGCTATTACTTTAACCCATTTCAGTGCTGGCTATTACTGTAACCCATCTCAGTGCTGGCTATTACTTTAACCCTTCCCAGTGAGGGCTATTAATTTAACCCTTCTCTGTGCTGGCTATTACTTTAACTCTTATCAGTGCTGGCTACCCCTCTCAGTGCTGGCTTTTACTATAGCCCATCTTATTGCCGGCTATACTTACCACACATTCATCATCTGTGCCCAGAGAAAGCCACAGAACAGAACTGTGGGTTGGAACTTGCAGTGATACAGTTATGATTCTGTGGCTGAAAACTGTGTGTGTGATCAGTCGTCTGCCGATCAGATTACTCTGCTAGGCTGTCACACTGATCTCTGCAGCATTTCCATCTCACAGTGTACCGGCTGCAGACAATTGTCTCGTCCTGAGACGGTGCACAGTAATAAACGCTGCCACTTGACATCAGCAACAGCCCCATGAAGGCTGGGAATTAAAAATCGTTTACTGAACAGCCAGGAGACATTATAAAGTCTTAGGAGAATGCTCCACATCTGTTTCCGCTTATCCCAGCCCCTTCAGTGTGCTCTGCATCTTATTCAAGTAGCTAATTGTATAAAGTGACGGGAAGCTGGTGACTGCCTTCACTACTTCAAATAGTCTCCAGGAGATTAGAGAGGGATCAGTCTGCTTACACTCTGACACAGAGCTTGCAATCAATCCCTCCTGTCCGGATGGATATCCTCCCACTGCAGAGATCAGGACACTGGTAACAGTACATAGGCCCTGGGGAGCAGTAGAAAATGACATTGTGTCAGTGGGCAGCTCCATCATTGTCATATGTCACACTGGAAGAGAGGGACCTGGAATGATCAGCAGTATTTCAAAGTTACATTTGTGTTACTAGTGAAATATTTGCTGCCTGTGTGTGATCAGAGTGCCTCTTTCCTGGTATGTCATGCGTGCAAATCACATTTTATGTAGTTAAATCCTGTGCTCATAATTCATTTTATTGTGCACAACCCCAATAGTAGCCACATTTCTCTGACATGCATGCGTGTGATCTATTAGAAATAATATAATGCTAACTTTCTTACAGTTGCTTTGTGTGTAAGAGGAGACAATAAGACCGCAGACTGGCAGCACTGGGCTCTCATGTCACATACAAGAGCTGTCACCCTGTACTAGACCTCTGCACCTCCCACCCTACATAGACGTGCTGGCCAATAGGCTCTGTCTTGATGCATGTATTGTTATTCATCAGAACCCTGGCCAATCACAGATGGAATTCCAAGGTAACCAAAAAGGCTAAGTTGAAGAGCCTGGAAAGAGGACTTACAATCAAAGAGAAGAGATCTTACCTAGGTTATAAGGACTGGTCCGTCTTGGCTGCTGCATTCATCACAGGCACATCCATTGATTATTCAGTAGGAAAATGATTGAAGAATCAGAAATCACATTATAAGTACCTGCTTGAAAGGGCCAAAGCAAAGCTCCATTGAGGCTACAGGAATAAATAAATGTTCTGGAGATGGAGAAGGGGACTTCTTTTGGACTTTGTCATTTGTGTGTCCTCTTGACCATACTCATGGCGGTGTTCCCTTGCTCACAAGGAAACTGGATGTAGGTACCTTTGTTTTTTTTTAATATATCTTCAAGTGTCCATTTATTACCAAATTGTAGATTTTTATTTTCTTGCTAAAAAAACGTTTTTATGCAGTTTTATCCTGTGTATTTGATTGAAAAGCCGGACCACTGATTTGAGTTCTTGCGATGTCTATATCCAAGCTGTCATCATCTCAGGGCTGGGTCCACAAGTTGTAGTTGTAACAAAAAGTGTCCCTTGCAGAAGTCCCTGTGTACCAAGTCCTATAGCAGACTATAGAGTTCCAGTATCAGCACTATTTTCCTATTTAAAGTTGTAATTGTAACAAAAGTGTCTCTTGCAGAATCCCTGTGTACCTAGTCCTATAGCAGACTATAGAGTTCCAGTATCAGCACTATTTTCCTATTTGAAGTTGTAATTGTAACAAAAGTGTCTCTTGCAGAAGTCCCTATGTACCTAGTCCTATAGAAGACCATAGAGTTCCAGTATCAGCACTATTCTCCTATTTGAAGTTGTCATTGTAACAAAAGTGTCTCTTGCAGAAGTCCCTGTGTACCTAGTCCTATAGCAGACTATAGAGTTCCAGTATCAGCACTATTCTCCTATTTGAAGTTGTAATTGTAACAAAAGTGTCTCTTGCAGAAGTCCCTGTGTACTTAGTCCTGTATAGCAGACCAGCCCTATAGAGTTCCAGTATCAGCACTATTTTCCTAAACAGCAAAGCCTTTTTTTTTCCAGAGAACATCTGGAGTCTCCAAACAAAAAAATGACAGCTCTCAAACATGTTTACATGCAGCTCTAAAATATGTTAAACATATTTCATTCGATCTCCAGCGCAAGTTCAGTTTTGGTTTGTCAAAATATTTCAAGCTGGACTCCTTTGTTTCTTTCAGGGACTTGAGGAGTTGGCATGTTCCAAAGAGGCATATTTTATTAGATGGATTAAAACATTATGCGTTTAGTCTGCTCTTTGCCCCCAGAGAAAACTTTTTCATGTAGGTTTAGTTTTTTTTTTTTCTGTTTGCAATTGGCAACATTGTTCTGAATCCATGCAAAGATTTTTTTTTTCTTTAATCTAAGAAATATGTGGAAACTTCTGCAGAACTATTTTGTGACAGTGCTTTATATATATCAAGTGTGTATGTTTTATTTTCTTTCTTTATTTTAAACCTTCAAGTATGGGGCAATTTGTTGCTATTTATTCTTATATTAAAATTGTGATAGAGAGTCCTTCAATTCATCCTGGTTGGAATGCCAGTTTTTTTTATATCTGAAATATGCTTTCACACTTTGCAAGCCTCGTTGTTAAAATTGGTAGCCTTGACAGAGCAGCAAGTATTAGTTACATTGCACAGCTGTCTTCTAGTCATTTGCTGCATCTCTTTTGATTCTGGATTAACTAGATTACTGTGTGATGTTGTGATACCTTATCTGGATCAGATATTTTACGGATGTGCTAATCCTCTGGATTCCTGTAGCATAGTTTAAACCCTGTGTACTGTGTTCCATGTGTGTTTCTTTGTTCTTCTGTTTGATGCTGCTGACATAAAATGCACTTCAGATAAGAGCTATATATATTTTCCTATTGTATGACATTTCTTGCTCTCTTGTTAGGAGTCTCTGGCCAACATAGCCATAAATATCGCCAGTCAGTCTGGTGGCTCGTTAGAAAATTGCCCACATGTTAACACTTGGGTCTGAAGAATTCAGGGCTTTATTTACTAAGCAGCGTTAAGCCAGAAATACTGGAATTCTATACATTTCTGGTGCTCTGACAATAGAGACCTTACTTCGGAACAAATAGATTATTTGTCCAAGCTAGCATCCAACAGCATTTTGTAAGTCCAATAAATATTTTACAGCTTGCTGCGATAATTTGTAATGGCTTCCCTCATCAAAACCTAAAGGTAGTTAAATTAGTAACTGAAAAGCGTTATGATATGCATGTTTGTATACTACTTATTATAAAGTTTTGCACTTGCCGCGTTTCATTTGTGGAGTATGCAGAATGCAGAGTATGCAGAAGCTGGAACCACCAATTAGCAATCATGTTTTGATTTCTCCAAACTGGACAGTATGGGGTTAATTTACTAAAGCAGTAGAAATTGCTCACTTAGAAAAGTGATTGTTCACATCTTTCCTCAGCATGGTAAATAAGGTGAGTGTGTTCACACTAATCATGTGCAAGAAAATATTATTTTTTTAAAAAAAAATTTCCTTGCACATGATTGGATGTTTACAGTGAACACAATTTTTTATACATTATATTATTTACAAAGCTTACTAAACATTCACTTTCCAAGACAAACAGTCTGTTTGCCTTCACTAAATCAACTCCTATGTGTCTGGCTGACCACAGCCAGCTCAGTACAGGAAATGATGCTCCAAATATTGAGCTTTAGTTGTGATTATTAGCAATTGAATGTTTGGGGGTGATAATGAGGGTCCCATGCAGTCAGGGGCACTATTTGTTATACAGGAAGTTTTGTTGAGCTGGTCTATGTCTATGGAGAACAGTGAAGGTTCTCAGGATGAGTATTGCAGTGGATTCTGTCACCTGTACCAGTCATGTGAGGATTGGCAGATATCTCCACACCATATCTGTCCACCTATAACCAGCCATTTGGCACTGTACAAATCACTGCATTCTGTTATCTATCTATCTATCATTGTCATCTTCAGCCAAATTCATCTTTTTTGTCAGATATTCCAAAGGTAACCATTTAGTAAAATATTGCACCCTACCTAGCTGGATGTTTTGGGGGTATCTGAATTATACAGAGAGATTGTTCTATTCATTTAAGCAACTGCTATCAAAGCAGAACTCTGGGTAAAATGTTTCTTAACTCTTGCAGTGGGGTTATCCACACACTGTAGGGTTAAGGGCTTGTTTTTGCCTTGGTTCAAAAATAACAAAGATATACTTACCCGAACCTCGGAGCCAGCTGGCTGTCTCCTCCTCCACTGCAGCAATGGCATATCTCTCTGTGTCTTAATCTCCAATACACTGTGTATAGAACATGATGATTCAGGGACCTTATACCCTTAGAGGCTCCAGGGACTGGTCTAGGAGCAAGCTGGCTCAGAGGTTCAGGTGAGTATAATTTTTTTTTTTTTTAACCTAGACAAAAATGAACACTTAACCCTGAGCCTAGACAAAAATGAGCACTTAGCCTCACTTCGGGTGTTAAGAAAAATGTTACCCGAAGTTCTGTTTTAAAGATACTCAGACTCGGTCACACAGTCACTTAAGGTAACCACACAAGTATGGATATGATTATTCCATCGATCTTTCAGTGTGACTGATGAAATTAAATAAGAATCATAAACCAGAGACTGTGCATTCAATCGATTTAGTGAGCTTTACTTAGATTTCAACGCTGGCAAATCAATCAATAACATCAGAATTCTATTGATAATTTCTGATGGATTAAATTAATTTTTGCATGTGTCAAACAACAGATAGTAATACAGTTTGAATAAAAGGATAATTTTCAGTAGATCGTTTCTGATAGATCGTATTTTCAATCGCACACCAAATGTGTTTTATTGTTCAATATTTTAGTCTATGATGACTCACATACCATCTTAGCCTTCCCCACTTTTACTCACCTTTCTTGTTCCCAGAGTCTGGGAGTCAAACCCTGTGTAAGCTCAGTGTTAGGGTTTACACACAGTTAATGAAGTTGTCTTCATTGTCAAGTGACAATGTTCAGCCCAGCAAGTAGCCGCTCAGACCAAGCAATGCATCCCTGGAGCTCCCTCAGATACAGAAGTGATGGATATATGTAACCACTATGACTGAGCAACCAAGCAATAGGGAAGCACAAGTAAGGTGAGTATAAGTGATTGAGATGGACTAGTAAAAAACGTTGTTACTTCACCCATTCTTTTCAATATGTGCAATTTATGCTGCCACTCTATTGCTGGAATTTATTTCAGATTAATTCAACTGATTTTAATTGTTCAGAAATGCTTTTGCAATTGATAGATCTACATAAACTAACAAGGCAAAGAGCAAAGTGCAAGAACCTTCAATAACCAACCACCTGTCAATCATCAGGCTTCAGTAAACCTGAATCTGGTTATTTTGGGCTACTGTATTTTTTTCAGTTTAGATTTGTTCTTTGCAATGTCCTGTTAAATGAGTTAGCGTGCATATTTTTTATTTGGAGTAGGCAAGCTCTAAAAGTTGCTTATGATAACTAGGTATTGATTAGGTAATAGATGCGTGATCTTTAGCATCCTCATCATTAGTGCTTGCTATCATAAGAGACAGGGCCTGGTTTGGGGAAACACTGAAGAGAATGGGGCTCTAGCATTAGCACCAACAGATGCTGCAGCAATAGCACGTCATAAGGCAAAACAATACTAGGAGCCAGTCAGTTCAGTACAGCTTTTTATTTTTGAGAGTCACCATTTTGGACAGTGGGAGGCTTTTGGATCTTTCATTATTATTGGGGAAAGATCTGCCCACGGTGGGTATTAACCTAGGTACTTTGTAGCCAAACAACTCAACTAGCACCAGCAATATATATATATATACATACAGTATATTGTATAGTGTTGTTTTATAGCTGGTAACAACCAAAGAATGTAAAAATAAAAAATGTCTTCAGAAACAAATATTCTCCTGAGTTTTTTTAAATTTTTCAAAGTTATAATCTAAAAAAAAATATTTCACTGATTAGCATCTCTGCACAGATTTGCCAACAATAACTCTTAAGCCACTCAAATTGTAGTATATAGTAAGCACCAAATGAATTATATAAAAAAGTGAATTTTATGGGTAATAACTACCTTGCAGTTTTGCTAATTAACTGTTAACAAGTCTAATAAGTAACAGTGCTATGTTACCTAACCATCTTTCCTCTTAGTGCTTTCCAGTAAAAATAAAGGATTTGGTTCCTGTATTCAAAAAATAAAAATATCATGTTGTCTGTATAGCTGCTACAGAACTAATAAAAGGGTCTATTCACAAAAGGGTGAAGAGTTTGGAGAAGGCAGGAGAAGTGAACAATCTAGGACAGCATAGCTGAACTGGAAAGTGAGCTGAATTGGAGAATTTTTCCAAATCAGCTATTTTGGCCTAGATTGTTCACTTCTCCTGCCTTCTCCACACTCTTCACCCTTTAGTGAATAGACCTGTAAAAGTCCTAATATGTATTTACAATCAATTAAAGGGGTGGTGGTATCAGCGTTGCAGGCCTGAAATCTACTTAAAACACACAAAAATGTTATAATGTCTAAAAGCAGAGAACCCTTAGAATAAAAGTGGCAGTTGCACATTTTTATGTTGCATGATATTTGTACAACAGCTTTTCAAACCTATATTTTCCATAAAAAATACACTAAAATTAATGTTAGTGCTCATAAACAAAATAAATCTTACATTTTTTGCAAATTTTAAAAGATGTGACTATGTCGAACAAATACATACTAAATATGTCAAGCCTTAAAATAGCATGCACCCGTAGAACAGAGAAACATTACAATAGTTAAATAGGCAACATTTTAAAGCTTTCACAGCTCATCAGTTTAGAGTTAGTTGTAAATATTGACCCTATAATTATTTATCTTACTCCAGTGTGCATGGCAATATTGTATATTGTATATTATACTGATATATTGTACCCGATTGCTGTTTACGTTCAAGCAGGCATCCTAGGTGCATGTGTGTGTGTGTGTGTGTGCATACATGGAGGGCCTTTACATTTTTCATTATTTTGAAACTCCTTTTACTTTTTTTTACTTAACTTTATTACTATCACAACGAGGCTGACAAGCTCTTGTACGATAGCATATTCTGTTTGACAGGCCCTTTATATTTAGACATCAGGGGTTGATTTCCCTCCACTGCTTCCACAGTACTCGATATGTTCCTTTCCTGACCACAGCTAGTCACAATCTGATAGCTGTGAACCTGGAAGTACTCAGAGCAGAGCACATACGGCTTCACTGCACAGAGGGAGAATTGATTCACTGATCCTCCACCTCTTGCCATCCTGAACATCCCCAGCCTTCTTGGTATTAACCCCGTGTGTTACTTGGGCTCAGAGTTGTATGTATAAACAGTTCCCCCTGTCTGGAACTCACTGCCACAGGCGGTGATTTCAGCAAATAATGTGGAATTGTTCAAGAAACTTTTGGACGATTTCTTAAGGGACCGTAATATACAGGGGTACAGGTACTCCTAGAATGAGATCCTAATAGGTTGGACTTGATGGACTAATGTCTTTATTCAACCTCAAATACTATGTAACTATGTAACTATGTAAGATGCTCAAGGTTGACTGTTTTTTTCATTGAATTCCAAGTAACACTTGAAGGTTCACGCTAAGAGGGTTAAGTTGCCTATAGGTGCACATGTCATGGCAGATATTATTATTACTTAAGACCTGATTTTAAATGATTACTCCAGGTATGGGAAAACAACAACCCCTCTGGCTGACCAGTAACATCTTATATATAGTATAGATAGAACTGAAACCCCATTCATATAATTAACTAGTTTTTTGAGTGTTAGCAGTCAGTTTGTAACCTCTAAATCTTTTAGACTGCCATTTCTATATATGCAAAAGTGCTGGCTTCTGGATGCCCTGGTTGTCAAAAGTAACTTAAACATGGCAAGATGAAGATAGCACCTATTGTTTTTCCTATAGATGATGTTAGCTGGGCTTCTTCATCTAGTTGGTTTTGCAAGTTTACCTTAAATTTGTCTTTGGTTTCTTACCATGTTGGGTACTGTGAAGGATGGTTTGCTGACATTTTATGTGAGGCTATACCAATACACGAGTGCTCAAAGAATATCATACACTACTAGATTTTTTACAGTGTGATCTGCGCTAAAGTAAGTTGAACCATTTTCACCCCAAACACCTGATTGTGTGTAGAAGAAGTACTTTCACCTTTATAACTCCTCCTGCACATGATAGGATGTCTGAAGTGCACACAGGTTCACTTCATTTCAGTCCTTAGTGAATAATGCAACAAGGTGAATTTGTCATGATAAAATTTTAGAAGTTTACACTGCTGATTGGGAGGTTTTTTGGGGGGGAGGGTCTCATTCTATGGCTTTATGTCTTGGCCTTTTGATTAGCTGGACCAAAGATGCAAGTTAGGATGTCTAACATCATTGGCTGTTTGGCTGCCTACTTGTTCTAGGTCAACAAATAGTGAAGCCGTAAAATAACCACAACATCCAGAAAACTATCAACTTCTGTGAAAAGTCAGGAATGGTAACCCCCAAATTTCTGTAATAACCGGTTCACTTTAAAGATAATTTGTTTTCTGTAAAATAATACATCTTGGCCATGCAGCAGCTCTTTTAATTTCACCAAGTATGTTTTATATTATGTTTTTGTTTTAAATGTTACGTAGTGTACTAAAAAATCTGTGTGCATGCAGCCATGTTAAATAATTTTCTACTGTGTCCAGGCACAAAGCAGCTCCCCTGCAGCTGACAGGCCATCCCCTGTTAAAGTGTTGGAGATTTAAACAAAACTATAGATTTTCCTCTGCAAACTTCCTGGCACTATCAGGTTCTGTAGTAGCTCATCCTGATCTATAAGAGTGTGAGCTTTCTTCAAATATTCACCACCAAGCCTAAAGGGTCTGGTATGAATCAGAAAGGGGGACCCCACGCCGTTGTTCTTTTTTTCTTTTTATTTACATGTCATTTTTTTATTCTGCTCACTACCTCGGAGATAGCGAGCAGAATCACCGAGCCGAATGGCATTTGGCTGTTCACTCAGGCATAGCCTTTCATTTGGAAATTCATGTCTCTTTATGCTTGCCAAATTAGTAATATTTAAAATATTATAGCTGGTGAACCCAAGAGTCTTTAAAGCTGAACCTCAGGCAAATCTGTATCATGCACATCTGTAATCAGTAATACACCATACATGCATTTTAATGCAAGCAGTGTAATTAACTGAATGTGACCTGGTATCAACCTCTTGCAGTCCCTGTACAGCAGAGCTCAGACTAAGGGAAGGAAAAGCAATACAAGGAGCCAATCAGTTGTGCTGCAGTGCAATGGACATGCTGACAGAAAAAGAGAGCAGACAAACAGATGAACTTAATCTGATGCTTCTCCCTTCACTGTCCAGTCATGAGGTGGTGATGGGGAGGAGACATGTGGATGCTACAGAACTTCAGAAGATTAAAATGAGGTCTCCTGCCCTACCAGACAGGACTGTGTGTGACAGAAGAAACATACATGGCATTTGTCCTCTGCACATGTTGCTGAATAATGTAATGAATGGAGTGAAAATTGATGCGGAGGAAAGACAATGAAAGACATTCAACCTTATTTTGATAATATGCACCAAAGTTTGTGATAAAACACAGAAACAGGCAGTGCAGAAGGAAGCTATTTAGTAGCGAATATGCAGTTAGATGCTGAAGATGCTTGAAAATAAGGGTCAGGGTTGATTCTTAAATATGAATTGTTGTGTTAGTACAACACACTTGAGGGAGGTGCCAGCACTAGGTCAACACATTTTTTCAATATGATCACTCATGTTCTTTTTCCCTGCAGGTGGCTTGGTGTTACGTCTTTTGGAGTTCCAGAGAAGTTGGGTTGTTCCAACCTTCCTCTAAGTGCTCGGCAGAAAGACATGTGTAAGAAGAAGCCATACTTGTTATCATCCATCCGGGAAGGAGCTAGACTAGGAATTCAAGAGTGTAGGAACCAATTCAAACATGAAAGATGGAACTGCTCTCTTTTACCAACTTTATATACTTCTAGTTCTTCCATGTCCCTTTCTTTTCTGTCATCATCATTAGCCTCAGCTCAGTCAATCTTTGGCTATGAGTTAACCAGTGGTAAGTTTCTTATTCCACACTTCATATATTTATGGTACATTTTGTTACCTGCCTAATAAATCCCATTGAATTGTTTAAAAGTATCTTCAAGATGACAACTGTAATCTTACCCTGACTTCTGCCAGAACAGCTTTTCTTGAAATTGGCAGTTTTATTTTTAGTAAATAAACATTGTCAATCTATTTTTCATGTGTTTTCAGGTTTATTAAATACTTCAGTGGAGAACTGTACTGAAAATTGTTACATTTCTCCCAAAAATTTTACCATCAGGCATATCCACTCCACTCAGTTACAAAGTAGAGCTTTTGTGTGGTTGGCATTATCTGATCTAATGAATAATGTGAAACCTCGCGCCACTACTCCAATCAAGTTAAGCAGCAGCTGAAATCTGTGTGGTCAGATATATAGTATAAAATGAATAGTAAAAGCCGCGCTGTGTGAATGAAACTGCAAAAGTGTCAGATATAGTAGATACTGACCTTGAAATAATGTGATACAATGTGTAAAAAGTTCAAAACAAATAAGAAACGCATGTATATACCATGCACCTCAGTGTAAATGCATTGCTACAAAATATCCATAATGGAAAATCAAATACAATAGATGTTAACTGTGAAACAATGTGATGTAATGTGCAAAGAATAACAACTAGAAAAAACGCATGTGTATGATATGCACTTCAGTGAATATAATAAATGGTTAAAAAATGTCCATGATCCTGGATCTTCAATAGTCCATTAGGAAAATAGAAGATAAAACATTGGATGTAAAATAATCTCAGTCTCCTGTGATCATCAACAGAGAGACTGAGTCACAAGAGACTGCAGAAGGAGTTCGACTCCTTCTGGATCGGCTAAGCCGAACCTCCGGCAGGCTACTCGCTGCTGTTCGGTCTATTCTTGTAGATGCCGAACAGCAGTGAGTGAATAGCCGAATGTAGCTGAGCATTTTTTTTTCTATTTTTTTTTTCTAGTATTCCCCATGTCAGAATAAAAAAAAAAAGAAAGAAAAAGCAGTGTTTCTCTCCATGGCGGCCGGGAGCAGGAGACTCCCAGAGCGCCCGGGAGAGTTAGGCTGTCTGGAGATCAGTGTCCCTGGTTAGCTGGTGGCTGGAGCCAGCTGTAAGATCACGGCTGGCTCCGCCCAGCTGTCAGAAGCAGGCTGTCGGCCGGGCCAATGGCTGGCCGCTCGGCCAGCTTCGGCTTTCAGCGCGGCTCAGCCAAGCCGAGGCATATGCCTTCAGCTCGACTGAGCCACTTGGCCAAGTTCGGGAGCTGTACGGGCTATTGTGAATAGCCTGTACAGCAGCCCTTCGATTTTATTGAACCTAAGGGGTCCTGGGGCCGAAGCTAGCCGAAGGATCGGCCGAAGCTACGGCTAGATCCTTCGGCTGCTTCGTGAATAGACCCCTATATTTCTAAAAACTTCAGTTAATAATTGTTAAACACAAACATGCAATGATATAACAGGTGCCACCTCCACTGAATAGGGACCACCATGTTGATTTGTTATAAGACAGGGAGAGTTTTCCTGGTGTGTCACCCTTACTAGCATTCTGGGGAGAATTAATAAAAAATGTCTGAGACAAGTTCTATCTCAACTGGTGTGGTTGACCATAGAAACCAATCAGCTTCTGTCTTTCATTTTTTCCACACAGCTTAGAAAATGAAAATGTAAAAGCTGATTGGCTGTGCTCCAGTTGGGACAAAGTTGAGGCAACATTTGTCTGAAACACTTTTATTAATTCCCTCTTCTTACTGTACCAACTTCCACATGGAGCCAGGGACACTGTCAGGCTTGGGGTTTAGTGCCTAAATTTGAACATTGCTACAGCGCAATTCACATCACATAGAAGTTAGAAAGTAGAGGGTTTTTACAATCACATATTGGTGCTCTGTGTAGCAGATGGTACGTTTGTCCTTCCATTAAAGAAATCCCATATTAATGCAGCATTTTATCGACTGCACTGAATCAAAAATGCCAAACAAAAATGAATTGACAGAAAGAAATGTTCTTCTGTCTCCTGCACATCCTTTAATGTTTGGATGTTGATGTAAAAGTCTGTATTGTATCTCCATTGAGGCTGTTTTGTGTACATACCATGCTGTTTCCCTTTTAGACAAAACATACAACTTTATTATCAGCCCCCAAGCAGAAGTGTTTTCATGAAGTTACAGTATATTCATTTATATCGCTTTAATATAGTGGCGATAAGTCTACTTTCATATTGGAGAATCTACTGTTTTTCATCTTTACTAAGACAGCACACAACTGCTGTGGCCTTGCTGTGAAGTGTTTTGATGACTCCTGCATGTGGTTAAAGGAATAGATTTTTTCCAATAAAAATATCACTTAGCACAAGGAAACCACATTGAGATCTAATTGCAGTATAAAAGCAAACACTAGAAACTCATGAGAAAACAGAAACTTTTTTTCTGAAATGTTGCATACTGCAGAACTCAGCGGGTTTCTTAATACACGTGTTAGCAATGTAAAAACTTTAAAAGAAATTCATAGAGAAGAAAAATATTTATTGCCTCTTAAATAAATGCACCCTGGTACTAGCCTCATTTAATATCAAATAAAATGGTCAGTCTGATTGACTGATTATTTACACACATCTGTTTGAAGGGAAACAAGCTGTGCCAAAAATAATCTCTGTTTGTCATTGTAGAAACATGTTTACCGCTAGCTTGAGTTATCTTCAATAGATAGACATATAAAATATCTACAGATGTGCCATGTAGATTATCTTGAGTGTGCTGATTTACCCCTACCCATGCCATTATATAAGTTGGTGAAGACGGTGAAGTTAGCAAAGTGACTCCAATCTAATTCATCCGTAACATTTAATGCAAACCCCAGGTAGCCCACTGCTACAATTACTGCATATTAAATGGAAGACCAGTTACTGGTGGCCTAATTTGCAATGAGTTATTAGCTTTTTGTGCCGACTAGAGAATGTATGATCCAGTCTTTGATGCCCTGTGTAAAGTGTTTTCCTAGTCATGGCTGTGTTCTAATGTGTCCAGATTGGAGTGTGTTGAAGCCTGCTGGTGCCCATGCAAAATTATCCTCTCCAGAAAGCAACTGATCACTACTCTTACTGCTTAGTAAGAACTTGGGTTATAACATCTAGTACCCAAAAATCTGTGCTTAAGTTCTTCAGCAGCCATGTCTCCAAATTGTGCCAAATATGCAGAGAAACATGCTTTGGCAATATCTATGAATCATGGATGATGCCTGGATGGTATATTTAATATATTGTAGCAATGTTACCAAGCCATTATCCTGCAAGGCTCCCAACTGTTTGCAGCTTGTCTCCTAGCTGTAGGAGAGAGCATTTTAGTGTGCAGTATAGACAACCTGCAAATGTCCCATCTCACACTGTGGCCTCTGTCTTTGTTTGCCATGATTAGGGCAGAGAAAAAAAAAAAGCAAAACAAGTGTAGGTTGGAGAACATGGCTGGTGTGTGTGTTTTTTTTAAACATTTATTTACATGTTTTTTTAGACTGTGATGATTATGTATTGTGTGTGACATCTTTATGTAAGGCAGGGCTCAAAATTTCCGGTCCTGAGCTACTAGCCAGGCCTTCAAAGTTACTCGCCACCAGTTGCCCTGCATAACACAAACAAACACACACAGGGCACAACGCGCACACAGCACAACACACATACAGCCACAGCACAACGCACAGGGCATTACACATACAACCACAGCACAACGCACAGAGCATTACACATACACATTTCATCTGAAATTAATTTTTAGTCTTCGCACATGCCTAAAAATATGCGTCCGGGGGGGAGCAGTTTTCACTTTTTTAAAATAATTTTTTACATTTTTCATTTTTTTTATTATAATTTAACAGGAGAGAAGCCGCCCCAAGGAGGCTTCATTTCCACTCGCCCCCACGCAATTTTCACTCGCAAATTGCGAGGGGGCGAGTGGAAATTTTGAGCCCGACTTACCTAACCAATTGCTAGATATAAGCAAAGCGAGAGTGTATGTGGAAAAAGTATTCCTTTATGGGCATAGTGACACTGCATGAGAAATCCCATCCCCGGATGGGGACGGCAGG